AAAAAAGAAACTGTTGGTAATATAGTTAAATTGGATTAAGTAAAGTAACATACCAAATACCGCATTGTTCATTAATTTGAAAAAGTCTTTCTCAAAGTCGTTCTGTGCCTTCTTCCTCATCTCTGTGTTTAAGTTAATATAATCAGCCAACCATGCAGACTGACTAAATTCTAAAACTCTATGCACCTATAAATTAAGATATAATGTTAAAAATCTGTTTAAATCTTGTAAAATAAAAATATTTACTTTTTCAACTATTAACCCATTTTTAATTGCCTGCTGTAGGTTCCGGTAATGTATAATATAATTTTTCTTCTGCTGAAACGTTGACATTAATTTTTTAACCTTTGAGCCTGGTGGTATACCGTTTTGTGGCAGGAAAGGCAGGTCATTATGTTTATCATGTAAATGTTGTGGGTATGATACATCAATTTCATATACTCGCCCTTTGTTTGACGTTGGCGACATCTCACTCAGTCCGTTCAAGTTGGATTCAACCCAATTGAAGTCACCGTATGGCATATACTGACACATAGCCCAGCCATAGAGATTATTACCTGTAAAGTTTAAGTTTGAAAAATGAATAAATAAATAAATAAATAAATAAATAAATATATTTACAGTCCTGGTATATCAACCACGATTTCTCCTTAGTTTCGTCGTAGTCTGGGGTCTTTATATTATTCGCTTTGGCATGTCTCATGCTTGCCTGCACTAATCCACCACGAATACCTATGAAAAATATACAAGATTATTATTATACATGCAATTTTTAAAACTATATTGATATACTAACCATTCTCATACATTAATAACATATCGTAATCACTCAACAGCTCCAACTTTTTCCTGGTAAACTTCAACATCGCGTCAAAACTCAATCCTGGTGCAGTAAAATAATACGCCGCGTCCAAGTTGTATGTCTTTATGCAGACATCACGAAAATTTTCAAAGACGTCCGCCAGCAGCAACACGTCGATTTTCAAATACAGATCACTGTACTCGCCTAATGTCTTGCAACCGAAGTGGTCCCAAACCTCCTTTGCATGCGTATATTCCTCTTCCTTTATTCCCGACTCGTTTAACGTGCTATAAAAGTCACTCTTCCTCGGTAGTCTCTCTTCATCCAACCGGCTCCAACTATCTGTATACTCGTACGGGTACACCCCCTTCCGAGTCACGAGCGACATATCGACTTTATTAAAAACTTTAGCTGTCTCTCTGAAGTTCTCCAGAACTGGTGTTATAAGATTTTTAGCTAGAGTTGACAGACTTGATGCCATAAATCTAAAAGTGTCTACGAAACGGATTTGGAATTTACTTGATACATATTTAGAAAATGATATATATTTTTCCTCAGTGTTTGGTATTACTCTAATAGTCTGGGTGTCATAACCAAGTTCTGTGACTATCAGATGCGCGTCATAGTTGGACAAGTTATGGAAGTAACACGGTACAAAAACGGGTGTTTGTAGTTTTTGATTACATACATTGCAGAGAGCTTGACGGTATTTTCCTGTGAGATGGCAATGGTCAGCTGTCTTACGATATAGTACCTCTGAAGGTGGGGTAAACTCGATTTTGCATAGATTGCAGTGCGTCGCTGCTTCATGAATTTGTATGTCGTCTGCGGACATATTTATCGGAATATTCGTCTTCAATAACTTCTCTATCTTTAATGCTATTTCAGACACGGTTTCGACAAAATGTCTCGTCACGTCCTGTCGACTCTCACTTCCTCGATATAATATTGGTTCCGTTGATATCTCATGTCTCGCCAATAGCTCTATCGGTACGTCGTCGCTAGCCTTCACAATGAGTCCATAACTCATCGCTTCATGTCTATGCATTATTTTTGTATTTCCCTCATTCTTATCATCCATCTTCATCAGTATAGTTTCGAAATCTGCATATATCACTATAGGATGCCTCTGAGTGTTTCTCCATGCTTCAAATTGCAGACACTCACCTTCTTTCGGCATCACCGGTAATATTGGCTTATGTGCATCACATATAAGCTTATGCTGAGTTAACGCGTCACGCCCATTCAATTTATATTTATATCTTTGATTGTCAAAGCTGGTAAAGCACCTTTTACAAAATACGACACTCTCTTTATGTCCAGTCTTTTGAGAGCGTATAAGGCGGGAAAAATTCGAGATGTAGATGTAATGCGACCCGCTTTCGTCTGCTACCAACAACAGATCAAAGTGGTTGGCTTTCTCCTCATCAACGACACGTAGCGGGTACACCTCATACGTCGGATATTTACGCGGTGGCTGAAACTTTTTGTCTAACCCATATACATTCACAGAGACAGTCGGGTTATTTTTTTCAAATTTTGATATGTCTGACATCGGAGTCGGGAACGATATACCATTGAAATTGTGTTTGTCCTCATGTTGTCTATAATTTTCTCCTATACGGTATACCGACGGCCCTGTCACATACCGCGCTAGTATCGCCCACTTGAAACATTCTTGATCGCTGTTTTGAGGGTTAATTGTACCCTTCTTTTTATCGATATACGCAGGCAGTGGTATGTATGACGACCCGTCCATCGGCGTGTATTTGTACACGGCCAACAATAGCCCATCTATAGATTCCAGGGTAAACCCGCTTCCTCTGCTAGTATAAGCTTCTTCCTCGACCAATAACTTTATATAAGCCCTTTCAATAATCTCAGGAATGTTACTTTCCGAAAAAACTTCAACTGCTGACGTTTTAAACGCTCTATTTTCGGACGAATTGGGTACGTTTGATCGGTTATAAGTAGCCTCGAGCTTCAAGTTAAATTTTATTGGATGTTGCTGCACGTTATTTTTCAACATGTCTGCCAGAGCCGGTGCAAGAGGACGTAGAAAGTCGGTATAATTTTTAACATTATTTAAATTTTTAGCGAAATACCAGATGATTTTTCGACCCGCTGACGATGAAATTTCAACTAACCCGGGGGACTTCGCCATATCCATGCGTGCTTTTTTCGCTCTAGCAGCCGAAGTGGTGTTGGCGGTGGAAACTCGTTTACCGTTTACGCCCGTAGTTGTATAAGAGTCTTAAAAATAAAAAACCCCCCTAATAAATCTAAAGAGAAACTGATTTTCTTATAATAGTATAAAAATGTTATGTATCGTTTAAAATTAAGTCTATCAAACGGTGCAACCCACCAGCATATAAATAAAATTTATGATTTATACGAATCTTTGAAAATTATATCTCATCCATAATATTAAAAATAAAACTAACCTGTATTACCGTCTTGAACTTTTTCAAATTCGTCCATGGCTGCCATGCAAATCTCGTCCTCGGATACCATGTTCGAGCCACCAGCCGGGATATCGGGGACGAAAATTTGAGGACCAATCTGTATGCCCCCCTGTGGAGCAATGCGTGGCGCGAACTTTATGACACTCTGTCGAGTGGGTTGAACATCGATCGATGCAACCGGTTGGTTGAGCTGCGCATAGGGTTGACGATGAGCTGGTACAATACCATGCATATTTTTCATGTGTTTGTTCAAGTTGGTTTTGAGAGTGAATGTTGACGCACAAACAGTACATGGAAAACGAATACCGGTATGAGTTTTTTGGTGAACAACCAAGTTATCTTTAAGTGTGAAAACCGACGGGCACTGCTCGCATTTAAACATATTTAAAATGAAAACGAAAAGAAAAATAATAAAATGTTTAAACACTTGTAAAAATTTTAAACTCACTAAAATTTTTAGAGACGGAGCGTATACGTGTACAACGGTTAAAAACGTACTGAAGAACTGTTGGCTCTTTCAGAATATATAAAGACGAATTTGAATAGGTAGTAAAGACTACGTCCGGCAGAAGGTACTAATATCGGACAATAATGTGTTTTTCACTAAAATAGGTATTTTAATATCAATAAGTATATCACATCCTGGCGACACGAGTCGTGCGAATATAGCATTTATCATATCAAATAATCCTAATGGTAGGAAATATACGGCAGCGTTAATATAGTGTATTCATCGATATCATCAGCTGCAAGTTATTAGTATTCTAATGATATTATAATATGACCAGTATACTGTGGTTTAATTTAAATATTTTTAAAATGCATTTATTAATACCTACTTAATGCCTCCTACTGTTAATATGGTATATTCATCGATATTATTTGTGTACGCAGCTACAAGTTATTAGTATTGATATATATCGGTTATTAATGTCTCCTGTGATGGCTATTAAGATAATGGAATAAGGAAATATCTAATGGCAATATATTGTTATATTTATTTGATTAACGAGTCAATTATTATATTGGTTATTTTATAATTTTCGACAAGCGTGCGAACAGATGTCTATTTTATCCTTTGATAATTGTCCTTTAAGTGATGGCAAGTAATGACAATACGGTGACAATACGGTGGCGATTTGTATGCCGCGCGAGAGTTACAGGGTAAAGTAAACAAAACTGCTACCTGTACATTATACCTTTTATCCGTATCCACAATAAGATACAATTCATGCCATTAGGTATGAATATTATCATTTTATTAGCACACTGTGTCTACCCTGCCTATTTAAAATGTAAAGTAGCTCAATTAATTTAGTCTTTCCCCGACACATGTATCGTTCGCTAGTTCGCTCTGAATTTACCAGTTTAAAAATGTTTAACAAAATAATTTTTTTTATTTATTATTTCATAAACCCCATTTGGAGTCGTGCTAAAGATGATGATGACATCATCTTGTCTCGCGATGACCTTATAAGGATACATGGAGAAGGTTTTCAGCAAGGGTAAGCTAAAATTGTTATTATATTTTATCATTTTCTACATATTAAAATTTTTGTAGCGATATAAACAATGATGAGATAAACAACGATGATGTTATTGAAAATAATTCGATTTCGTTACGTGACCTTTATGAGGAATATTTGGAGGTGCGAGACCGTAACACAGGATTCAATGAATGGGCAACACATGCGGGGTTAGTTTCCCGAGATTTACGTTTAGAGTTTAATGTGTTGGGCTTAATAATGGTCGATGATTTCACAGACAATTCAATTCCTATAGATGAATTCATAGTAAGTTTAAACATAGAAAAATATTAATTAAAATTATTAGATTTACTAACCACTTAAAACTTGTAGGTACAGATATCATTTCAAGACTTATTTTCCTTAATTAGAATAATTACTGAGCATCATACACAATACTATATATTTTTTCAATTAATATATAGAGGTCGGAGAATAGCTGAAAGTGAAAGAATGGGTATTATTAACTCCGAAGAAGCCAGACATTCTCGAGTTGATTGGAAGATGAATGTAATTATGATTTTATCGTATTATGACTTAACAGGTGATACATACCAATTTATACTAGAGAGACTAGAACATTTAATTATGTTATAAAATGATTATATGTAAAGTTTTTTCTGAAATTATATTTTTATCTATTTGTATGTTTATGTGTTTATATTTATTTGATTGACGTGTAATTGCCGTCTATTAGTATGCTAAATGGTGGTGGCAATAATGTTGAACTGATACCATTTTATTTGATAACTGGTAAAAATATTTGTGATAACAATATATGTTGATTAAATACAAGTCCACGATCGGGCGAGTAAATATATATGATAACAAATGATAACTGATTACAATGATTAGAATAACGTGTAATATGTTGATAACGTGAGTGATAAAATATAATATGTTGATTAAATACAAGTCCACGGTCGGGTGAGTAAATATATATGATAACAAATGATAACTGATTACAATGATTAGAATAACGTGTAATATGTTGATAACGTGAGTGATAAAATATAATATGTTGATTAAATACAAGTCCACGGTCGGGCGACCGTTGGTATGGTATAGTGGTGGTGGAAATTATACGTCTCGTACATATGCGATCATTATTCCAGTTAAATTAGATAGAATACACCTCTCAAGTATAAGCGAGCAACTTGCGCAGCGGTGCGGTGGTCGATCGGCATGCGGAGGGCTCGGGTTCGATTCCCGGACCGATGAAAAAAAATTTTTAATTATTTTCCTCGCGGGGGCGGCAATGTTGGTTGGCGGCGGCGGTGGCGGTGGTGGAGGGGGTACGTCACATACGTAGCGGCAGCGGCGGCGGCTATGGGCGAGGGTGAGGGTGAGGGGGTACGTCACATACGTAGCGGCGGCGGCTATGGGTGAGGGTGAGGGTGAGGGTGAGGGGGTACGTCACATACGTAGCGGCAGCGGCGGCGGCTATGGGTGAGGGTGAGGGTGAGGAGGTACGTCACAGCGATGATGAGGTGATGAGGGAAGAGCGGGGTAGTGGGGGATGATCATAAGGATCAGTAGGATCAGTAGGATCAGAAGGATGAGGCTCTAGAATCCCCTTTTTCATACTACTTCCAAGTTCCAATATCAATGAAAATGCCACTAGTTCCGTTAATCCAAGCTCCAATGCTAATGAAAATATTTCAAATATACCAGCTCAATGTCGAGAATTGCTTAGAAAAATGATTGACTTAACATACATCATAGACGAAAAACAATATCCAGAATGGTCAAAAGAACTAAATACTTTAAATAATGTACATAGTAAAATGAGTGAAATGGTTACAAAGAAAAATGGTTTAACACTGCTACCAACAAAACGTAGTTCAACAGTGTTATTGGATTTACCGAGAAACCATAAAAAACCTAAAACAAAAGACTAACTTGACGTAATATTGTCCTAATTTGTATTTATTATTATGATTTTTAATTTTATAGGTACCTAAAAAATTACTTGATTGATTTATTGATTTATTTTAAAAATTG